ATATATATACACATATATAACGCACCAACCAGGTCCCACTTAGCACCAGCGAGCAGCTCCCTGCTCCGACTGTAATAAAAGCCTGCTGCTGAGCTCGGCCTGCTGTAAACCTACGCTAGCTACAGAAAGTATAATGAATTCATACACCTGCTGCTTTAGCTTTTTATTTAGAGTTAATATGTCAGCATCCCTGTCTGAGCTCACCTCTGTTTCCCATCCTATCCTTTCCTGATGTGTCTTGCAGGCTGACCAGATCCTCCTCCCGCTCGTCACCTCCTGCCAGTATTTAAACCCGGGTCCTGCAGTCCCCGGTAGTCTGTCTTCTACCCTGGTTCAGGTCCTTTCAGATACGCCCTGTGTTGTTCCACGGAGATCACCAGTCGACGTAAGCCTACCATAGTGTTGGTTCACAGGAATCGGCACAATCAATCCTGTTATAAAATGACGACTGTTGCTATTGGGTCCTGTCCTGAACTCCCGTGACAGACTTACGACCAACCCAACATTACCGTAACATTGTTTCTTAATGTCTTTGTCTCAATTCACTGTTTCGATCACCAGGGGGGACTTGGCGCTTCACTTTTCAAGAATGTTTATTGAGGTGATGCAGTTGGTGATAGTGTGGGCTCCATGGTGGAAAGGAGTCCGTTGAATTCTCAAAACGTTTTTGTCATTGCTGTGAGTTCACAAATGGGTTTTGAACCATTTCTGAAGAAAAGATTCATATTACCTTCTAAGTAACGATTGTAGGTTGAAACCCTTCCATCTCCAAAATGCATCCATCGAAAGGCAGTAAACTTAGTCAAACTGTCGATAAGCGAGTTTGCCCATTAACTGTCAGCCTTTCAGAAAAGGAGACACTCACGTATCTGGTCAAAAGTGATCTTGAACAAAAGCACCGGCTCACTTGTATACACTGCTCTCGGGAACATTGCCAGTTTAAAGTCTGAGATGTAAATAATGCACAGTTCCATTTTTCTTTTTTACCTTTACAATGAGATCATGTGTCACTGCTCATTCAACCCGTGGAGTTCCTCCGCTTCTGCAGTAATGACTAATGTTGGCAAGAAAAACTAAACGTAAGCTGATATCTTGTTTTGGAGGAATGAGGATGTGACGGAGGTGCAGGTTACAGCCCGAGTGGAAGGAACGAGAGCGGCCTCCTCACCGCCGGGACGTACGTGGTAGATCATGGGCTTGTGTGAGAGTTTTTGTCGTGCGGTGACAGCCGGTTTCAAATGAACTGGAGGGAAACCAGAGACGAGGTCAACAAATGGGCTCAATGGATCAGGTTGATTTGGTCAGTGTTTCCACTCACACCTCACCGTTCCTCGACAGACTGAGCTGAACAACCAAGAATCCCTCACCAGCCACCTCGAGTCCCTTCATCTACAGGTTTGTAGACAGGAGAAGAAAGCTGGCAACAATTCGATATGTTGATGATGATAATAAAGATAATTAAAGCTGCAAGCAGAGATGAACGGGCCTTCGCCTCCCCTTGCATGTCGGGGGCGGCAGCGCTCAGCCAGACATGACGTCAGAACAAGGAAAAGAAAATAGAGGCAATATTCACTCACAAAACCTTCCTCTTCATTTTAGAATACGGTTGACTTTTTTAGTAGAGCATGTCCAAGAACATCTGTGTGCAAAATTTCACGTCAATCGGTGAAACTGGGCAAAAACTTTGCACTTAACTACTTTAATATGATAAAGACCTCAAAAGTGCGATTGAAGTGGTGAAAGAAATAGAATAATTCTTCGAAAACACAATAGGGCTTCGCCGGACCTTCAGTCGGCTCAGACCCTAATGAAGATATCCTTCATTTCATATAAGTGTAAAACACCTGAATGACATAATTCGGAGGTTTAGCTCAGTGCAGCGGCGGCCTGTGGGCTCCATAGCGTAGGCTTATGTAACCTTTGTGCCATTATGCCGTGATGCCCGGCTTACGGAAAGCACGTGTGCAGAAGTCGATACCCATAAGGCTGTGATGATTGCGAGGGATCTTTGCAGGTATGTGTTCACAAGGATTATGCAAATGAGGTCCCGCTTAGCAGATGAGGATGCGGGATCCTAGGGAGGAACGTGCTCTATATGGGACAAGAAGCTCAGGGCGGAAGCTGTAAACAAAGAGACATCAAAGTAGGACACAATGAGAAACACCCACAGGTCATATTTGCCTCCACTTACAGTTTCCTGTTTCTACCTATTCCTCTTGCATAACCCTCGTGTTTTGTTTTGAGATACCGGGCCTGGATGTACATGGTGCAGGACAGTGTCCCACTAGATTTGGGATTGGTCTTTAGAGGGCTTTCCTCCCCTCCTGTGTACATGCAGATATAAGCAGTATATGTGTGTACACAGGTGCACGTCAGGTTCATGGGAGACTCCAGTCGCATTAGCTTTGTTGGATTAAGCTGCAAAGATGTTTATTTTCTAAAGCAATGAAAGAGTGAATTAATGAATTATAGTACACAATGAAAAGAAAAGAACAGATCAGTGAACAGATGAGAAAATCTCATGTTTATATACTGAAGAAAGAATATCACATTTTAAATGTGGTATCTCTTTCTCACCCTATCACACTCTTCTTGGCTTTTGGCAAAGAAAAACACACTTAATATTGATTATGCAAAGCATGTCAAACACACAGAATGCTTTTGATGGTAGAATTGATGCTACTAACCTCACTGCGAAGCATGTTCGTGGTCGTTCTAAAAGTAGAGAACTGGCCAATTGCAATCAAGCACATTTGAGTGTGCATTTTTTTTAAACGGTGCTTGAAGATGCGCTCACACTCACACATCCACAAAAAGGAACAGGGTCTCATTATATCTTAGTTGTGCCCTGCGGCAGGGTGAGTATTTACACAGTTATTCAGAGGAGTGACTGTGTTCGACCGCGAGCAAATTAGTTTGCACCCTGAGGGCTCAGTCGATGGCAGCCTCAGGAGCTCTGTGTGTGCCTGTGAGTGTCTCTGTGCAGATCATTACATTGTAACCGAATCTGTGTCCGTGTTGACTGGAGGCGGAGGACATCCCACATGCCCCTATGCAAAATAAATGGAGAACTTATTAAAGGGCAAAGGTCGCCAATGTGTCAGCAGCGTGTATCAAGTTTACCTGCTTGTGTTCCTCCGCCTCCTCTGCGCTCTCTCTTCAGTCCAACATCAACTTATATACACTTGCCTCTTTACATTCCCCCTCTCCTCTCGCTCTCGCTGTGTACGTACTGTTGCAGCTGTTGCTCTTTTTAACTTCAGTAGGCCCGTTGGCTGCTGGTGATAAATTGGACACTGGGTGTAAATAGATGTTCTGTTTTCATGGGAGGGTTTTCCCTGACTTGGAGACACCGCAGCTGATTACAATACTCACTTTCTACGAAACACAGCAGGTGTTAGCAAGGCCAGAGTTAAGACAAACAGTACACAGATACAGCTGTCTGTGCTTACGGACTGGAAGACTTTGACAACATGCTGAATTGTGAGAAATGCACATGAATGATTGTTGCCTTTTCCACATATGCAGTAACCAATAGGGTTAAGCAGAACCTGTTCCTTCTTTATGCTCTCGCTGTGACACAGACTCATGTGAAAGGTGTAGGGGCCGTCATTGGGAAACAAATCTAAAGTGCAAATGAAGTTCAGTGTCAAGAAGAAATATTATTAAATATTGTAACCGATATTCTCACCTCTCATTTTCCTCAGCAGCACCTTACCGACTCTTTCGTTGGTGCCACCAACCGGCAGACAAAGGCCTATGGACAGAGCAGTAGCTGTTCAAATATTTCTGTGGTTTAATGGTCAGAAGCATTATACTAACATTGGATTGACGCTTCAAACAGAACATATAGAAATACCTTTGTTAAGCCAGACAGTCAGCACACACCTTTTATTGGTCCTTTAGATGGAACAGGAAAGGCTGCATCACGGTGAAAAGCATGTTATTAACAGCGTTTGTCGCGGTTTTAATGCGATGTTGGGCCAACGAAAAAAACTATGTTTAAAAACATGAATTGATCTTCAGAAACAGAATGAAATAGCATGATATCCAGGGTTTATTAATCCATTCGGAACACATAAGCAGACTAATCCACAACGTGTTTCTGTTTACATACTTCCTGGATCCTGATTGGTGGAACGCTGCAGCACCAAGGCACTGATTGGAGGGTCACAGACCGTAATACAGCGCAGATGAACATGATTCAGCTTATAGAGTGCATATGTTTAATGATATGAATCTAAGTCTTAACCTCTATGGATGAGTAGTAAAGAAAATGACTGGATTAAGAAACTAGACAATGACCGCATGAGTTTTGTGCACTTTAATTACCAAATATTCGTTATTCGGTAACGGTCCACAGAAGAGGTCTGTGGAAAGGTTATAACATTTCTTAATACGATATACCAGAACAAGGTAGAGGGTGTGACTAAAACAATGAGTAGGTGTCTGTACATCGAAAGAAGCCAATCAAATTTAAGAGTGAGGTAAATGCAGTGCCATGGCTATTATTTTTGATAATCCACATGCATATTCAAATCACCCACAATCATTTCTTTATCTGCTTTCAGGACTAAACATGACAAAAACTTCAGTTAGAAATTCAAAACACAGATATGAATGAAAATAATATAAATAAATAACCGGGACAGCAGATTTCTATTTTCCAGTCTTCGTTCATAGTAGATGGCGTAGAATGGCAGCTTTGTTTTTTGTTAGGTTTTGACATATCTTCCAGTAAAAAATTATATACAAAGGATTATTAAAAGGGGTAAATCAAGGCCTATCATGGGACGGTATCTGTCAAACATTACTGTGTTTTCCCCATTTCTCTAGCTTTATGTCACAAAATTTATAATTGCAACATTTCTTGAGTTTTATGATCAGATACATTTTCAAACAATTGTCATAAGAAGAGTTCCATCTCAACAAGCACTGACTTTCTGAAGAGCCAGCCAATCAGGGCTGATCAGCTACTCCTGTGACACCTGCAGATGGGTATATTTACCTGCGACGTGACTCAGATTGCATTTTCTGTTGGTGACCGAAGTAATGGGAGTGTTTTGGGCCTTGCTTGTTTCTGTGCTGACTGTCTGGTTTACCAAAGGTATTTCTCTATGTTCCGTTGGAGACTTCAATTCAAGAACTTTGCGGTGGAGTATAGTAAATGTAGGGGTGATGAAGTAATGTTTGATGAAAAGCAACTTCTTTATCTGCAGGCTCTGGTTTGCCGGTTGGTGGCAAGAATGAAATGAGTGGTAATGGGCAGCAGAGGACAATGAGCGGTAAGAATATTGGTGACTACATATTTCATGAGGTTTGTTAATGACACTCATTTTTGTAACTTTACTATAGATCTATCTCCTAATGACTCCTCCATGAAGAAGGCCCTTACACTTCAGGCCAAAACGGCACCGTGAGCGACGACTCTGCAGGCCAAAACGGCACCGTGAGCGACGACTCTGCAGGCCAGAACGGCACCGTGAGCGACGACTCTGCAGGCCAGAACGGCACCGTGAGCGACGACTCTGCAGGCCAGAACGGCACCGTGAGCGACGACTCTGCAGGCCAGAACGGCACCGTGAGCGACGACTCTGCAGGCCAGAACGGCACCGTGAGCGACGACTCTGCAGGCCAGAACGGCACCGTGAGCGACGATGTCGCCGCATGTGGTTACATACGGCACCGTGAGCGACTAGGCCGCCGCAGGTGGCAACAACGGCACCGTGAGCGACGAGGCCGCTGCAGGTGGCAACAACGGCACCATGAGAGACGAGGCCGCAGGTGGCAACAACGGCACCGTGAGCGAAGAGGCCGCAGGTGGCAACAACGGCACCGTGAGCGACGAGGCCGCAGGTGGCAACAACGGCACAGTGGGTGACTATGACTACGAAGTCCAAAATGGCACAAAGGGCGCCGACGCCGCAGGCGGCAACAACTGGACTCTGGCCGACGAATCTGCAGGCCAAAACGGCACCGTGAGCGACGACTCTGCAGGCCAAAACGGCACCGTGAGCGACGCCTCTGCAGGCCAAAACGGCACCGTGGGCGACGACTCTGCAGGCCAAAACGGCACCGTGGGCGACGACTCTGCAGGCCAAAACGGCACCGTGGGCGATGACTCTGCAGGGCAAAACGGCACCGTGGGCGACGACTCTGCAGGCCAAAACGGCACCGTGGGCGACGACTCTGCAGGGCAAAACGGCACCGTGGGCGACGACTCTGCAGGGCAAAACGGCACCGTGGGCGACGCCGCCGCAGGCCAAAACGGCACCGTGAGCGACGCCGCCGCAGGCCAAAACGGCACCGTGAGCGACGCCGCCGCAGGCCAAAACGGCACCGTGGGCGACGCCGCCGCAGGCCAAAACGGCACCGTGGGCGACGCCGCCGCAGGCCAAAACGGCACCGTGGGCGACGCCTCTGCAGGCCAAAACGGCACCGTGGGCGACGACTCCCCAGGCCAAAACGGCACCGTGAGCGACGACTCCGCAGGTGGCAACAACGGCACCGTGGGTGACTATGACTACGAAGTCCAAAATGGCACAAAGGGCGCCGACGCCGCAGGCGCCAACAACTGGACTCTGGCCGACGACGACTCTGCAGGCCAAAACGGCACCGTGAGCGACGACTCTGCAGGCCAAAACGGCACCGTGAGCGACGACTCTGCAGGCCAAAACGGCACCGTGAGCGACGCCGCCGCAGGTGGCAACAACGGCACAGTGGGTGACTATGACTACGAAGTCCAAAATGGCACAAAGGGCGCCGACGCCGCAGGCGGCAACAACTGGACTCTGGCCGACGACGACTCTGCAGGCCAAAACGGCACCGTGAGAGACGACTTTAAAGGCCGCAACAGCACTCTGGGCAATAGTTCCTCTTAAGACATTTTGGCTTGTACCTACTTTTAATCTCTGGTGTTAAATAAAACTGTCCCTGAAATTGCCGTTTCCCTGTTTGTCGTGTTGTGCAAAACCAAAGAAGTAGACTTTGTGACTTTCAATGATTGGCCATGAACTTGTGTTGAATGGAATGGGCTCTTTGAATCCTAGGCAGTCTAGACTTATAGCAAGTTACCTGGGGCTGACAAGAGTTCTCCAAAAGGCGTCTTGAGCCTAGTGTTAAATGAGGTGACTTTATGCCCACTGACGCTAATACAGGAAGTAATGGGATCCCTTTTCTCTGTTCTACTTCCAATGCAGTGACTTGGACTTCAATAGCGTGCCTGATTTTGATAAATCTAGATTATTTCTGCATCACCTTGGGAAAGGAAGTGCCTCAATTTTAATTAGGTAGGTGAAGAAAGACCATCTCAAGGGTGTGTCCTTTTAACTTGTTAAAGCTTAACTGATTTCTTTTTGTTTGACAAATTACTGGGTCCAAATAAAGCAACCTTTTTTGGAGTTTAAAATCAGGTGAAGGTCCTCAAGACCTTGAAGTACATCGAGCTGGTTGGTTTCCTCCAGTTTGATCAATAGATACATTTAAGTATCTGCATAGGAATGAAAGTTGGAGGTTGTTCTGATGAGACCCAACGCAAGCATAAGTTCAATAAAATCTGTGGTCCAACACAGAACCATGTGGCTATTAGTCATTGAATAAAGTTTTAAGTGTTCACGTTGGTGAACATTGGCCCCTCGTTCATAGTTCACCAACGTGAACACTTTATAACTTTTTTTCGCCTTGCTACACTATGGATCCTTTTTCTTCATACTTAGTTGTGATTCTTAATTACCATAAATCATATGTATTAATTGGCTTTTCGCGCTTGTCTAAAAATTGGTCGACGCATGCAAGGAGTAAAAAAGTCCCAGCGTTTCTCTGAAAACGTATAACCACAAACTAGGCTTCACCAATTTCGGTCTCTAGTCACGCACCGTCACACACCTGATTTCTCACGCTAAAAAAACGTAACGTATTGAAAAGTTGACAGCCCTGCTCAAAGTTAGAAAAAAACATTTACGACGAAACCCATCGTCATGACGATACTCATTTAACGTTAGATAGAATCTGCTTGAGGAGGCGGGTCCATGTCACTAAATAGCAACTGGGATCGGCTTGTGCCGTTCTGAAAAAGGATCTGACCAGCGGAGGAACCTTCCACCGACCACCCAACCTGCCGTTCTGACAAAGGACCCCACCAACCACTTTTTGCACCTGGCGTCACTCTGATCTGATTTTGAAGAAAACCAATAGAGTGTCTGGATTGTATATGCTTTTACTTCTCATCCAACCACAATCAAACTCTATGCAGATGGGGCGATATATCTGGACGGGTTTTTAAACAAGCCAAAATGAAATAGGAGTAACGAGGATATTTTTAAAACTTAAGGAGTAGAAATTACAGGAATTTGCGTGAAAATGTAAGGAGTAGAAGTAAAAAGTCGTCTGAAAAATAAATACTTGAGTAAAGTATAGAAACCCAAAATTTCTACTTAAGTAAGGTAAGGTTACTTGACACCTCTGCATATTTTTATAATGTGTAAACATTAAGAGAAGTAGCGTAATTTTCTTATAGACTCTGACAGTCTGCAACCAGAGGCCCTATGCTAGCAAAGTTCTTTAACACTACATAGTATTATTCACCCATCTGCTGATGACTGGTGCTGCCATACAAAGTGTGACCATCAGCAACTAACATTGGTACCATTCAAACAACATAGTCACACCTACTGGAACATTGTTGGGGTTAAGTGTCTCGCCCAAGGACATATTGACATGCAACTTAGCAGAGCCGGGGCGTTCAGGGACCTAGTTACTCTTCAAGTAAACTGTAGCAGATATAAAATGTCAGCATAATACAGTGTTTTGTCGTAGAAATATGAGTCATATGAGCTATATTAGTGTATTGATCTTAGCATAGCAGTGTCCCACAGACACAGAAGCAAAGAAACACACTGTGCTGATATACATGCCACAAATATGCATGCCTATGGTGCATGTGTGCATGACGCTACTGATGCATGTGACAGACTCAGGAGCTATTTATGTCTTCCTGGTTTGAGCGTTGACGACACCAACATAACTCCATCTAGTCTGCACAACAACAACACGGGGACATGTTAATGCGTGAAACATTATCTAAATGAATGTGTCTTCTCAAGGTTATATGGAGCCCTACTTTGCTCATTGGTGCCTAAAGGACAGAGTCCTTCTATTGAAGTGTGGATGGTTGTACAGAATCAGCAAATTTAGACCCATTCAGCAGTTATTTGAGATGGGTCCTCATGCTCGAATGTCCTATAAAAACCCCAAATCTACTCCCATTGTAATATATCTTTGTACATAGAGAAGATCCTGTAATCTCAAACGTGTTCTTATTAAAATAAAAGGGAATTTCCCAGCACAGCAATTTAGCTTTTCACAATAACAATGAGAAGTTGTATATCTCCGTGGGTGTGTTGAACTTTTCTCCACTGGATAAGAAAATACTGTAAATCAGTGCTATTCTTGTTTAAGAGAAGCTGCTTAGTGTTGTTTAGCTTTTTTTATTGTGTATGTTCCTTTTATGTCTTTTGACTGTTACCATTAATCGGTCAAACTAGGTTTTGTCGGTTTACTGTTAACGGTTAGTTACTTAACATCCCCAATTACAAGCACTGCCACCTAATTGCTCTTCCTTAATTTAATCTTCAGTTAAACAGCTGTTACAATGTTTTTTTTTATATTCACTCAAAAAAAACCAAAAAGCGCCAGAATACACCGCGGCTGAACAGTGAAGATATTCCGTGTGCTTGCCAGCCCAATAGATTAATTTGAATTTGATTGCTGGCTCGTTTAGCAGAATGGGATTCTTGCTTAGCTGGGAGACAATTAGAACCAATCAGCTATGAACATAGCCGCTCCATGAATCTTATTTTCGGGCTGTGCTGCACAGAGTCCCACGACTCATTCCAGTGTTACCTCAAACAAGACGCCCCTCCACCACTTTCCCTAAGAGGAACCGAGAGTATTGATTTTGCCGTGTGATAATTATAGCTTTAATTATAGCTGGAAGTCATTCCACCCCAAGGACGTGAGCGTGTGTGTCCGCGTGTGCGTTTGTGTGTGTGAAGGTATCGTTCCCCAAAGAGTAGATCTATTTGATGGCCAATCATTTTATTTGGCCTGTTGGGTCGCGTCTCAGCCTTTCTCAAACTTCAGAACACCGAATTACTGGGGATGTCGGGCCTCAAACGCTCTCTACTGAAGCTCCCGGAACGTGCAGAGAAGTTTGACTCTGGGTGTGATCCAGTATCCAGTGTGAAAAAGTCAAGATCAGCGTTGATGCAGCATGGAAGACGCTGATTGATGGGCTTATTCTTAGCTAACAGAAACAATTGAAAACATAGTTGATGAAGAGAATATATTAGTCTGTTGCCACCAATAAATCCTCCTTAATCCTCCACACTTACACCTTTAAAGCAGAATGGCGTTTACCATCTTCACTTTTAGCACACTGGCAAATGCTAATTAGCATTAAAGACAGTACAGCTAATGCTGATGGAAGGGTCATTAGTCTCGTAATGAATCACATTATTGGACAATTTGAAAAATGCACCCGATGATGGAGCAAGAGGAGTCAAGAGATCATCAAACCATTGAACCGAATCCCGGCTGAGGGAGAATAAATGGCTGCCCCAAATGTCATGGCAAACCCTCCATATAAAAATAATAAAGAACTGGGAAATGAAAAATATTCTTTGTTTGGTTTGGAGCACTGAGGACTTGTGCCTCAGCACAGGAAGGAGCTGGCTCAGGAGAAACATTGGGATTCTGGGAAAGTCCTCTGCCTCCGTTTTCTATTCTGTCTGTATGGAGAAGGGAGAGCAGGCGAGCGACTGTCCCCCGTATCAGCACTGCAGGGGCTGAAACAGTTTCTCCGTCGCATGGGGAGCTTTTCCTCTGTGTCTGCACGTTCAAAACAGCCTGATATATGAGAATTTTAAATGAGCGTTGGTATGCTTTTAGTGAAAGTGCGTGCTGGTGCAATATTTCAAAGTGACACGGCATCTGAGCGCCTGTAGCATCGTAGCTCAGGGAGAGTCAAAGTCCCTCATGAGAAGCACATGTTCCAATGTGCCACAGTCAACCTTGGCTAGTCAGTGGAGGGGTTTGTTGTGTGTATGTGTGTTTGCGTGTGTGTGCCTTTGGGTTACTGCAGTATTTCCTTCTCTCTTACTCGCTGTGGCCCTTTCTCTCTCTCTCTCTCTCTCTCTCTCTCTCTCTCTCTCTCTCTCTCTCTCTCTCTCTTTCTCTCTTTTCTTCTCCCACCATATTCCCAGATAATGTATCAGACATAAACATGAAGACGTACTTACTAGCATATGCACGTGCCACTGCAGTCACACACACACACACACACACACACCTTCTCAGGGCAGATGTGCAAGCTCGAATGACCCGCTGCTCCCGGGCGGAAGCTAAAAAAAGCAGCTCGCCCTGCTCTGAGTAGATGGAATAGCATAATGAGCATGATGTCGGCATTGTTCTTACCACGGTAACAAGTGACGCTGATGGACAACGGGGGTGTGGAGCGGGGGGCGCGATGGAGAGAGAGGGGGAAACCAGAGACTGGCAAAAACCTAAAGGAGAGAGAGGAAAACAACTCAAAACATGCAGTGAGTGAGATTTCTTATGTCACAACACACTCAGCTCAACTCACAAAGTGTGACACTGCCACAAATGGCATTTTTCTATTAGATGTGGACCCCTCGAATCAAGACCAAAATGCGTGTCGTACAAGCGCGCAATTTGCAAAAAGCATCGTTAACCATTTGACCTCTCTCATCCCCCCTGGAGTCGGCTATAACGTGTCACTGGCTAAGCACAAAGTATCAGTACCGTGCGCAGCTCACTGCAGTGACTCAGGAACTATTCATCACAATGTGCAAATACTCTTTGTAGTCTGTCCATCCTGGGAGTGGGATCCCTCCTCTGACGTTCTCCCTAAGGTTTCTTCCCTTT